ATCTTACTTACTGTATACAGACCTCCTACCGCCAGCTGGCGGTTGTTAATCCTAATTAATAATTATATATTATAATTATAATTAGTAATTAGTTAATAATATGTTTAATTCGTGAGATTTAACTGAAAGTGAAATTGGCAATTAAATTTGTATGTATTTTGAGCACACATGTACGAGGGTTATGTCGGGATCGTTTTGATTAATGAAGGGCATTTCAGACATTTTCAGATAAATAGAGAGCTAACAGTAGTGATGAGGACTAAATCGTACAGGAAACTAGACAATAATTTTTACAAGCTAAAATCACTATATAAGAAGAATATATGATACTGTATGGAAAAATTACAATTTTTATCTATCAAGTTTGCATCGATTTCATATTTGGTCCTCTATGTTTACAAAAAATATATTTTCGCACTTATGTTTAAAAAAATCAATGATTTTAGTCCTTCACGTCAATCTTTGTTTAAAACTAACTGAATCAAGCACGTGCCTATCACTAACGATAAAATAATGTAAATGACAAAAAATATTAAATTATTGAAACATGAGGGATCAAATGTATTTTTTGTGAATATTGAAGACCAAATATGAAATTGGTGCAAACTTGAGGGGCAAAACTGTAATTTCCCCGAAATTGTATTATCCAAATGAAGAAACGCTTTCTAGGTCTAATGAAAGGTTCGAAAAACTTTGAAATGGTTGAAACCAATGTTGTCAGAACCGAATCGGATATAAAACCGGATCAATATTTGGGTCACGGTCGGGTCTACCCGGGTTTTTTAATTCTTTAAAATTTTAATTATTTTATTAGTTATAATATTTTTTTTTGAATAAATTAGTTATAATATTTTAAATTTACTATTTTCTATGTTTTTTTATATATTTCAAACACTTTATTGATTTTATTATTCTGTTTTGTTATACATATTTCCCTTATTATTCACCACAATCATTTTTTTAATATTTTTTCACCTCTCTCGCCACGTTCTCTCTCCTCTCTCATCTCTCATCATCTCTCCCACACCTTCTTCCCTCGTAACTGCAAAAACACCTCCTTCCCATCATCTTCATCACCCTTTTCATCTCCACAAAATCAACTTACAGTTGTTACCAACAATTAAGTTTTTCCTCTACACCACAGCATATCTCCCCCCACCATCTCTCTCCCTTTTCTATTTATCTCTTTTCCATCTTCTTCGTCTATTTTTTTTCTCCCTCACACGCAACTTATTCCGGTCATCCACGACAAGATTCATCAAATTCCGGCAACCCACGGCCAGATTCATCGAATTCCGGTCCCCCACGGCCTACACCACCTAGATCCAGCCACCCCGTCGAATTCCGCCCAAATCCCGCCACCAACAGCCACCTCCAACGCAGTGTTTTAGACAAAAACCGGAGTCAATAGCCGGTTTCCGGGTTCACCGGTTTTGTCCGGTCGAACCGGGTTCTAGACATTTGGACCGGGTTTTTAGTTTTTCCGGCTTTAGGAGTCGGATCGGATCATTTGAACACATTCATATCTGTGTTCTTCTGCGGTTCACAGACGAACTCTACAGATTCAAAAATAATTTTTTAAAGAGAAAAAAAAATGCAGATCTCTGAGGATGGGAATCAATCAAGTAATGAAATCGCCGGAGCTGATCATAATATTCTGAATTTATTGGACTCCATGGATAATTACCTAATCCTCGTCGATTCATTATCTTCATCTCTTCGCCAGGTAAAAAAAAAAAAATTGATTTCTGCAAATTTCGAAATTTCCAATCGTTTTCTTCTTGTAATAGATGGAATCTTCGATTTATTAGGTTAGAATTAATTATTCCGAAATATGAGTGATTGATTGAAGGAGAAAAAAAAAAGTGTGTACTACTGTTTGTTCTGTGTTGTCTTGATTTTCAATAGTTAATTTGTTATGAATGTCTGTAGCAAATTAAGTCATGGATTATGAGTATTAACCACAGAACTGGATTATTGTGCTTGATCTGATTGCTTATATGAAAAAAATTGGCCTTATAAATGTAATTGATATCTTGATTTTTGTTGTGGCATTTGCAGGGATGGCTGGAGTTAGCCAGTGCTCGATATTCGATGGGGGCTTCTCGAGTCAACAGCTCCTTGTTTGACCTCAAATCTCACCAGCTACCGAATCAGGACCTAGACAATGGTACTTCTTTAATTCAGAATTACAAAAAGAAAAAAAAAAACGAAAAAAAGTCTATTTGGAAATATCCCCATCGTATCGAAATTTAGGAGAGATGTTTTTTTATGAAATATTTTGAAGCCTTGAGTTCATCGACCACTTCGTAGAATACGCAGTAATAGTGTTTAATTAGCCGTGCGTTCGTAAAGCATTTTCATGTTTATATTTCCAGCTGGCACCGATACGGAGTTACCACGCTTCACTCTGTGCAAATGGACGTCGTCTGACGAAGCCAAACTTGAGGAGGATGAGTTGTTGAAGAACAAGTCTGATAATCCACCAGTTCAACATCAGGGTATATCCTTTTGCTTCTAAATCGTTTTTTTTTTTTAATTGTGTTACGGTTGTGTTTTTGCCACCATATTAGATGTTTTAGAGAGATTAAATGTACGAAAGTTCAATTTTTGCAGTGCCATTTTCTCGGGTTTTTTTTGTAAGCATTGGTGCCATACATATTGATTTAGTATTTTGTTCTTTTAACTTGTAATAATCAAGAGTCTGAAGAGAGAAAGGCAGAAGAATCGGGATCGCCAGTTACTGCTAATAATCATGTAAGTTAGCCCTCGATTAAATCTTGTCCTATACAGAAGTGCTATAGTAAAGCATAGTCAATTTAATTAAATCTTGAAATAATTTTTGGGCAGGCTGAGAAAGAAAGATTTAAATCCCTCTCTATGTTTGGAACACTCGTCTCTCCTAAGCTTCGTGCAACCCAATCAACATTCGAGACAGGTACGTATAACGTACTAGGATGATTATTCCTCTTTTTTTTTTTTTTTTTTTTTCTTTTTTTTTTCCCGGCTTGTAATGATATTAGTCGAATGATTATATATAAGTATAATAATTTACTGACTTTCACGTTTTGGCAGCTTTGGAGACGCTGGTAGAAATGTCGAATTTACGGGCTTCTTTGCTTCGTGCTTACGACCAGGTGCAGAAGGATCGGAAGACCGATGAATAATCGCGGTTGACTTCTCCTCGTTTTAGTAAAATTATCGAGATTAGCTTTTATCCATTCTATTATGTAGTCCCAAGTTAAACCACTTTTAACACCTGTACACAACATGCTTGAAGATTTTGTCATTGAGAAGTAAATGTCATACCAACATTATTAATTCAATTCTTGCTCTGTTTCGCTTACTAAAAACGTAACGCTTCAATTCTTGGAACCCGAAACTTTATTGAGAATTGAGAACACACACACACACACAGACTATGCGGGGCGTCTGAGAAAGCCGGTGCAATTATGGTCGGCGTGTCTCCATATCTACATGAAGGAAGAATCAATTGATTAATGTAATATTTCATCAAATGTCATTAAATTGAATTTACCTGAGCAAGGACCGGTTGAGGCAAATCGACTCCCCGGAAGAAATTAACAGCTTCATCACCACTGATTCTGCCGTCCCCATCCGAATCAGCCCTTTCGAAATACGCCTCGAATTGTTCCGTAAACTCCTCTCCCACGGCCGACCATTGAATCGGATGCAATGAAATTGTCCGTAGGAAGAAAATGCAATTGGATTGTGGATCATAAAATTGGATCACGACCTTTTTTTGTCTTCCCTTTAATTTTTTACTATTTTAGTTTTATTATTTGGGTAAATTACCACCAAAGGCGTAAGGTCAAATTATGAAAAATCCATCTTGTTTAAGTAATTATAATCAGCCCCTCAACTATGAATCTTGTTACAAGTCCACCATTGTGGTGTCAAATTTAGTGGAATCTTCTAGACTATGTGAAAATAATATTAAACTAAATTAACACCACAAGGGTGAATATGTATAAAAAATTGTAATAAGGGGACGGGATGTAATTACCTAAACATAATTTTTTTATTTTTTTTTATTTGAGGTGACTTTTAATTTACCCTTATTTTTTAAGTATAATTTCTTTTTTTTAATTCTACATAAATATTGTTCATTTTAATATTTAATAAATCGTAATGAATATGTTAACAAAAAAGACCCGTATGAATGACGTGGCGAAAATTTCACATCGCGCCCAAAGCCCTAAACCCCGCTTATTTAATTGAATTCGCTACACGAACGGTCATTTTTCAATCTTTTCGAACTCATTCCTTATAATAGTCACCGCTATATTAACCCTCTTCAATTCTCCAAACCCACACTTGACCCATTGGTTTTTTTCAGTCTCGTTTATTACCTCACGGAAATTTAAGAGAAAAGGGCGATTTTACCCCCGTAACCCTAACCCTAGGTTGCTGCTGTTTGCGGTGGTGAGTGCAAGGCGTAACACTTTCGTCTCCGTCGTAATTTTCTGCTTTTATTTATTCAATTTTTTGTTTGGATTATCGATGTTTTTGTAATCCGATTCTCTGGTTTGCTGAAGATTTTCGTCATGAAAGGAGCTAAATCGAAGGCTGATTCCAGGAAGGCCGACAGCAGGTTAGGCGATGTTTTTTTTTTCGTTGCTATATTTTTGTCGTTTTGGCTGATTCTCTGTTGATTGATCTGTATAATTCTACTGAGTTTATTTTGGGTGTATTTTGAATGTTTTGCTGGTTTCCAGATTTTTACTTGACGAAATATAACGAGTGGTTTGGTAATTGAAATTGTTGGTAAATGCTTCAAATAATTCAGTCTCAGATTAGATCCACTCGTAATACCTCTTTATTTTTTTTTATTTTTTTTCTGCTAAATAAAATCAGCACGTGATTCATTTTCGTTTTCTCTGATGGATCTGAAATCAAGTCAACCTGTAGGTGCTACAATGGATTTTGTATTAGTGTTATCCAGTTTTTTTGTTCTAAATACGATTAGAACCAAGTTTGAATCAGCATAGTTTTAAATACATCTCATGATTTTCTGAGTTTTGTATCTGTGATTGATTGTTTATCTTCCATTACTGACTGTATTTGATGATACAATTCATTGGGATGCCTAAACATTTCAGTAAAATATTGAAAATCTATGTTACATAGCCTTGCACTGAATATCCTATTTAACCAAATATATTTGATTTTCTGGTGATGATAATCAGTGATTCGTCTTTTGTTAAAATGTTCTCTGGTTATTTTTGAAGAGCTGGTCACAGTTCATCGAGTTATGATTTATTTTTGTTTCGTTCAAATTCTGACTGATGCATTTTCAGTAAGTACATCGGATCTATTGATTGGATAGTCTGTTTTATTGTTGGGGCCTTTCGTTTTGGATCTTCTATGGTTTCAGTTTCTTCGTGTTGTGCGGATGTTGTTTGATGGAGCTTATAAATTAACCATTAATTTCTGGTAATAGTAGGCTTGCTGTCAAGAAGCAGACAAAGAAGGAGAAGCAAGCAGCAAAGGATCCAAACAAGCCAAAGAGGCCTCCAAGTGCTTTCTTTGTCTTCATGTATGTTAACGTTTCTGTTTTTCAGACATCACCATTTTGTTTATTAGTCTGTCTTATCATATGCTTTGTTCCATTGCTGATTCTTATAATTTCTTATATGATCTTTTCACGTTTGCAGGGAAGACTTTAGGAGGCAATACAAGGAAAAGCACCCTACCAACAAATCTGTAGCTGTTGTAAGTTTCTCTTTCTGTCAACAATTTTAGTATTGCATGATTTTTTTAAAGGTTTTGTTTGTGGTATCTGATGTTGTTAATGGGGGCATATAGGTTGGTAAAGCTGGTGGTGATAAGTGGAAGTCGTTGAGTGATGAGGTAAATAACTATATTCTGCCTGCCAGATTTATGAGGCTTTTTGATGATGATAAATTATTTCTTTGTCTTGTTTTTTTGTTGGTGTTCTTATTCACTTCAAATATCTGCAAACATTTAAAATGTTAGGAAAAAGCTCCCTATCAAGCAGCTGCAGAGAAGCGCAAGGAAGAATACGAGCGCAAAATGGAAGCCTACAACAGGAAATTGGTAATCCATTTTTACTGTTAAGAACAATTAGTTATTACCTTCACCATATTATTACTATAAGCATGATATATAGATGAAATGTAAATTATGCTTAAATTGATATACTGCCCATTTCGTAGGCTGGAGGTGATGACGAGTCTGACAAGTCAAAGTCAGAGGTCAATGACGAGGATGACGAGGACGTCAGTGGAGATGTGAGTTTTGTTTATTGAGTATTTAGTTCTGTAATTTATTATTGAGAGTTTGTAATTAATTAATTATTTATTTAATGTAGGAGGATGAAGATGATGATTAAGCGGTGTCGGGATCGTCGAATAGGTTGACAAGGGATATGATGATTGGCTGCAGTATATGTTGACTGCTAACATTGACATTGTTAGTATATTTTAATTTTGCTGGATATGGAAAGTAGTTTATATAATATGGGATTAACTTAGTTGCTTTAATAACTATTTTAGACAATGGATGGATATTATGGTAGTTCTTAATTGGAAGGATTAGTTATGCAGCAGCTGTGCATATTCTCCCTATGATTGCTTATGTCTCCTTTCTTGCTTTATTATGTTATAAGCTTTTGTTATTGCATTTCTCTAGGTAATGAAATCTCGAGTGTGAAAAGATGTTGCAGTGTGTTTGGTTTATATTTGTTCTGCTATACATGAGAAGAGTCTTGTTTGTGGTTATAATATATCTTGTTCATTTCGTTTTACGTGTCGATAGTCGATATTAATCTGTTCTGTTTATTTTTCATTGATAATTGAATTTAAAGGAATTAAATTTGATAGTAATGCATGCAAACAAATATGAAAGTAAACATAGTAAGCTTGTTGATGTACGATTACAGTTTCTTAATACGGTATTTGAAGGTTTGCTGCTTCCATACGTCCCCCTTGAGACAAGTCTCGTAAAAGCTGGTCTCTCCGGTAGCTTTTACAGTCAGTGCAGCTGTGCTTCTAGTGCCGCATTTTCCCTGTAAATTACCAACAAAATTATCGATTAGCGGAGATTAGCGAAGCTTAATCATCTTATTACATCATAGATTAGTAATTTGTTTACCGCTTACCAGTGGGGTGTCTACTTCAACAAAAATGGAGCTTATGTTGAACTCCCAATCAGGTGAACATATATTTGGCAGCATGCTTTTATCAGCTTTTACCCTGTCTCTCATTAGCTTCTCCACCATTTCTTTCACCGAGAGTTCCCCTTCGACGTATTTCTTGACTTGCAGCTTAAAGTTCAGTTTCAAACGCTCCGCCTGATAATCGGGAAAAAGGATAAACAAATAAAAAGAAGCAAAAAAAAAAAAGGTATATTTATAGCTCGTAATAAAGTTTTAACAAAACCTTGGGCCACGGTGCATTGAGTGTAGCATTTGAAAGGACGTGGATTCCCGGAAGAACTTGTTTAATCGGAACGAGATCCCCTTTAGGCCTGTTTGTCACATAAACCATTGATTTGGAAGCAAGATCTGCTACAATCAGGTTAAAACCATTGTACTCATTTGCTTCTTTCACCAACTCTTCTGCAAATGCCTTCGGACACTTTTCGCTCTGTCCCTCAATAAATAAATAAATAAATAAATAAATGAAATAAATTACACTCTTAAGTGATTGTGTCATTGTGTGTGTGTACCTCCAAAAAACGGACGACGAGGTCTCCTCTGCTTTTAGCCTCGGGAAGTGTATGGAGCTCCAGCACATTTGTTAAAAAACCGACTCTACCGTGTTTTGAGCAGGCTAGCCATGTTCCACCGGCAACTTCATCTTTGCCGCCTAATATTTCACCGCCTTCCCACCACCCCACCGGCTTTGTAGGCCTATTGTGGTATTCATCTCTGTTAAGCAAGAGAAGAAAAGGGTACAGAGGGTGGGCTTGCCACATAAACACAGCAATACACATCTTGTAATATATTCACAAGTTGATGAGTTCTGTGATGAAAGAATATGCTCTATAAATAGTGAAATGGAAGAGTTAGCTAATATGCAGAAATCTTGGTTGCAATTTGCATGCTAGAGGCATATCTATTATGCTAGTGCTATAGACTATAGTGACACTTATAAACTCTTCATCAGTTTGTTGAGAATGAAATTCAATATAGCGGTTATTTATTGTTTTTTGTCTTTTTTCTTGCTTTTATTGGTGGGGGTTAGTGTTGAGACAAGATGAATTTATTCTTCCAACGTAAGTGTGATTCATTCATTGTGGCATTGAACATATATGAGGGTGATATAATAGAGATTTCGTATTTTTCGAGCAGTGTATTACTGTCGGGATCCCTAGAATTTTTTTAATATATATTCGGTCCATGAGAAAGTAAAATTCTGGTTCCGCCACTGATCTTTAATCTTATCGATATGAAACATTAAATGCATTTTTATTTGCACCGTCTCTACATATGGATTTAGAGCAAAATTATTTTTTAAATTATTTTTTTGGTCCATAGTTTAGTAGCTTTAGCTCTTATAGTGATCACTTAAAGTTTTGCAGCTACAACATAGTACTTGAACTGCACTATAATTCGCCCTAGCTCTTACAAATTGATGAATATAGACATAAATAATTTTAAGAAAATATATATTATTTCCATACGATTTATGAATACGACTATACGAGTAACCAAAGCAATCGAACTGCAATTGCGCTTTATAACGAACATTTTGAGTGAGCATTCTCCTTTAATCATTCTTAGGTTTTGTGTGCGGTTCCAACCATTTGTGTCTCGGTCAACTCTCGAACTACCTGCGAAGCATGACCGATCCAAATACTAAATATTTTTTTATGTAATCAATTTAAAATATTATGGTAATAAAATTGGATGCACATGAAATTTTTCCTTTTTGTAAATCTTCTAAAATAAAAATTCATGGTGTGTGATATTTTAAATAGTTAAATACTTATATATAGGTATAATTAAATTTATAAAATGGGCCCAATTATTTCAACGGGGTCCAATCTGATGGGTCCAGATTTGAGGTTGGGCTAGTTTCCAATATTCAAAAACTTTAGGACTTGAAATTTGACAAAATAATTCCGGAGCCCACTCTCTTGAGGGTGGGGCAACATGCAAATATTCTATAGTTAAGGAAAATCAACTTTTGGAAAGTTAGGGGCCAAAACGGATAAGTTATAAATTGTCGGGGACTAGAAAAGAAAACATGAAACGACGTCGTTAAGACACTGAAAAAATAGTTCAACAACAGCAGAAAAGAGGGAAGAGAGAGAAAAAAAAGAGCCCCTCTTCTCTGTTTGTCCGAAGCCCAAAGCAATGGGTAAGGTACCAACTGCTGCAGCAGCTGCTACAACGGAGGTGAAGATTAAAAAGAAGAAAGGCCGCCCTCCGAAGAACCGCCCTCCACTCTCCGCCGCCGCCACTGAGACCCCCGTCCCCAATTCCACGGGCCGCCGATCTACCAGACGGAACCCTAATCAATTGAATTCTCCGCCGCAGCCGGAATTCGACGAAGACGAAGACGACGACGACGAGAGGAAGGAGAAAAAGGTCAAGCTCGTTGTCCGCTTGCCCCAATCGGATGAGAAGCGTCTGGGGCAGAGCGGGCCGGACTCTCGAGATTACGATTCGGGTTCCGGGTCCGGGTCGGAGCCGGAGTCCGAGGATCGCGAGCGGAGTGCGAAGAAACGCAGAATTAACGGCGTTGATCGCGGATCTGACGACGGGGTTTTGGATCAGGTTTGTAATTTTAATATTTATTTGGGGGGTGTGATTTTATGCAATTGAAGAGGAGTTCAGCTTACACTTCGTCTTGTAAATTTTGCTGCATGGGTTTTTTTTTTTTAAATTATAGCAACTATTTTTGATGTGGGTTTTCTATTTCGGGAATATTGCGTGGCGGAAATAAATCTGGAAGTTTAAATTTTTGAGATGTTATTTGAAGGGGATTCTTGAATTCCGCGCGAAGAAATTTAATTATTAACATTGGATAATTCTGGCTTCTCCGCAGATCTGAAGTCGGTGTTGTGTGTTTTGACTAAGTCAAAGATTATGTTGCAAAAATATAGCTTCAGTATTTATTTCTGTAATGAAATCTGGGTTTTACTTCAACTTTGTTTCCACTTTTGTAGCTTCTACAATCCAGCCTTTATACACACACACACACATACACACACACACACACACATGTGTCATGTGTGTGTGTGTGTGTATATATGAATGACCATATTTAACTTTCTACATGTTTCACTGTTGCTTATTTATATTGCTTTAATTTATGTAGACCATCTTTTAGTGGGAGTGAATATTTTCTTTATTTGTTTTATAGATCATTGTGCCTTGAGAAAAAAAGTCCAGAGCTTGTCTTTACTATGTGTTTATTATTATTATTTATTATGATTATTATTATTCACACTTGTACTTGCTGATGCTGTCTCCTTCCTTGTTCGCCGTGTCGTAAATTGTGGATGATGGTTTGATTTTCCCAGGATGATAATAAAGAGGATGTAGTTGCAGCAAACACACCTCCACCAGATGGTTCAGGTAGGTTAAAAAACCGTTCTTGATTTTGTAATATAAATAAAGCAACTTGATTTTGATTCATCTGATTTTTTGGTATCTTCATTTAATTTTGTTATTTTGGACAGGTTCACCATTAGAGCCTGGCCCCACAACAACTCCTTTACCAGACAAAAAGCTGTTGGCCTTCATTCTTGACAGGCTTCAAAAGTAGGCTGTTTTTTCTCTCTAACCTCGTACTGTTTTTGTAATTTCAGTGGTCTGTTTTTTGACAGAGTTTTTTGTCTCTTGTGTGTGTGTATTGTATTGTTTGTTGCAGGAAGGACACTTATGGGGTGTTTTCTGAGCCTGTAGATCCCAATGAGGTGATTATTTGAAATCTTTTTACAGATATTGGTAATAAATACCATGATTTTCATGTTCCTTGTATCTGATACTTTTTTGTCTTGTAGCTGCCTGATTATTTTGAGATAGTAGAGCAACCTATGGATTTTGGTACAGTGAGGAAGAAACTTAACGACGGAGCTTATAAAAACTTGGAAGAATTGGAGGTTAGTTTTTTCGATAATCCGAGATGGAAAAAATACGAATTTACAATGATTATTTGTTTTGATGTTTTTGTTTGAACTAATTTTTAGTTCTCCGTTCATTCCGATTTCAGGCTGATGTGCTTTTAATATGTTCAAACGCCATGCAGTATAATTCTTCAGATACCGTCTACTTTCGGCAGGTTGGAAATTCGAATAGCGTTAGCAGTTTCTGGTAGTCGTCAATACTCCTTTTTTAATCTGAATAAAATAAAATAACGGGCAATGTTAATCAGGCACGATCCATACAAGAAGTGGCGAAGAGAGACTTCAAAAATCTAAAACATGAAGGCGACGACGGAGAACCGCAGCCAAAGGTCGTTCGGAGGGGCAGGCCCCCAAACAGCAAGAATCAGAAGAAGTCTCCGGAAGCTTCCGTACTTGACCGTGTTGGCACTGATATTCCGTCAGGTGCAACTCTGGCCACCGGAGAAGAGAAACAAATCGGATCCAATTCTTACAATCTAAGAAAGGGTCCCGCTTTATATAGAGTTAGGTCCACCGACCACTCATTTGCGTCACCTTCGAGAAACGGTGAAAATTATTCCGAATGGTTGGTTGATTGGAACAATGAATTTCCAGGTATTTAATTTTTTGCTTGTTTTGCTGCTTGCATCAAAATTTTCTTGATTTTCTTAACCCTCTTTTTTTTTGTCCTAAATTGCAGCATCGATTTTGAGGGCTGATATGAAACACGGGAAAAAGAATTTCACGGTGGATGAAAACAAACGTGATACCTACAGGCAATCGGACAATAATAATAATTCCCCTGTTTACGTTAATGCTATCGGAAATATGAAGCGGTTAATGCCGGTATATATATATATTCTGCAAAATCGGTAAATTATATTATGCTTTATTCGATACAAGTTTGTTTATTTGACTCTAAAATTCTGAATTTTACAGTTGGGTCTTCAAGAAACCCTTGCTTACGCAAGAAGCTTGTCTAGATATGCTGCAAATCTCGGCCCCGTAGCCTGGAAAATGGCATCATCGAGAATCGAGGCCGTTTTGCCAGCTGGCGTACAATACGGTCCTGGCTGGGTGGGTGATGACGAGGCACCTTCACAGCTTTTGATCGAGAAGCAGAAATTGATCGGCAAAAACACGACAACCAATTTAAGTTCCTCAGACGTGGTCGAAGCTGTTAAAACAACAACAACAACACTCAACAGCCAGAACGAGGTAGCCGCGTCTATGAAAACCCCGTTTCCACCCCAGCATAAGATTCCCACGAATCATGAATCGTACAGAAACGGTTTGAACGGGACTTTTGGGTACCGAATTAAATCGCCCGATTCACAAGGAGAAGCTCTCGATCTTTCTTCACAAAGACGTACTACTCCTTCGGTACCCCCGGATTTGAATGTAAGAGTGCCAGCTGGCTCACCTAGTTCTTCTAGCTTACAGATTGGCTCACCCCAACAACCTGATTTGGCATTACAACTATGAATTATCTATTTTAGGAAACAGCTTTGTATAGATTATATTATGGTTCTTGATTTTTTTAGGTGAAAAACTATTTATAAAAAAAACAGTTTTAACATTTGTAACTTTTATTATAAAATACCAGAGCAGGAAAATAAGCATATTTGTCTGCTTATGATTGATTCTGAACAAGAACAACAAATGTAATGTAACCTCTTATCTTGTAATATCAATTATTATGACGTGGCAATTCTTTTTTTTCTTTTCAAAATTAATATTACAGAGAACCTCGATATATTAATAATTTCGTTTCGTTAAATTAAGGGTTTTTGGCACTTTGCACCCTTAAATTATACTCTTTTGGCACTTTGCACCCTTAAATTGCAAAATTGGCAGATTGCACCCTTTAAACATAAATTGTTTGGCACTCTGCACCCCAAATAATTTTTGGCTTAGAAAAATTACCTGCAACTTGTTGAAAACCTGAAAGATGGGCAAATTCGCAATTCTCTAATTATCTATCCTCTTCCCCCAATTCTTAATCACCATTCCACCATTTTTATCTTTCATCCTTCCAATCAAAAAATCCTAAAATCTTTTTAGCCCTTTCTTTCAATGGTAAAATCGGTATAAACACTGAACAATAATAGTAAATCACTTTTCTTTCTTTTGAGTATGAAAAATAATATAACTGGTACTTTTAGGCCGAGCCCTCAATATTTTTTTTTAATAGTCAAATTCAAAATAAGGCTACTGAGAAGTTTATTTGGTGGTAGAAAGGTGGTGCCTATTAGTTTCATGATGGGAAGATTTTTGTGCTCTCATTGAATAGTTTGGATCTGCAAAATTATTAAAAAAAAAAATAGCGTTGCCATGGAATAAAACTTGATTTTCTGAAGGTGTGTTATCGGACTCTTGTCTATATATTCCGACCTGACCATTCTCGAGTTTTAATTCAGAATTGACATATTATGGCAAATAGAAACGGCTAAGAAGAATTTAAGATTTTTTGATTAATAGGACGAAATATAAAAATGGTGGAACGATGATTAAGAATTGGGGGAAGATGATAGATGATTATAGAATTGCGAATTTGCCCATCTTTCAGGTTTTCAACAAGTTGCAGGTAATTTTTCTAAGCTAAAACTGATTTGGGGTGCAAAGTGCCAAACAATTTATGTTTAAAGGGTGCAATCTGCCAATTTTGCAATTTAAGGGTGCAAAGTGCCAAAATGGTGTAATTCAAGGGTGCAAAGTGCAAAAGACCCTTAAATTAATATTTTGCTAAATTAATAGAGTTCGGCTAAACTCGACTGTATTAATTTGTGGAAGTTTAGCACATAAATATTGATGTCAAATCACTTGTAATGAATATTAACAAGTTGTTTCGATTTTATTGAATTAAAATAGGGTAAATTACAAACACCCCCCTGAGGTATGACTAAATTACAAAAACACCCCTCTTGTTTGGATAATTACAACCACCCCCTCAACTCATCAAATTTAGTGGAATCTTCGAGATTATATGGAATATTATCAATTTTGTACCCGTTTTATCCCATTCAAACTCTAAATTATGAAGCAAGATGACCATAATATGTGATTTTTAGCTTGTATATATCAGTTTGTGGTGCATCGAAAACTGTATTTTTTACACAAATAGTACAAACTAAAGCACATTTCACGGAATCTAGATGACTATGTTGAATATGGCAACATAAAGGTAAGAAAAAATCATAGTTGAGGGGGGTAGATGTAATTATCCAAACAAGAGGGGGATTTTTGTAATTTAACCATACCTCAGGGGGTGTTTGTAATTTACCCATTAAAATATTACATTAATTGAATTAAAATATTATATTTATTAACAAAAAATCAAATGGATCGCTTTTTCATATACTATTTCTTTGTCGTGTATAATTTGTACGAGAATTTGGAGGGAGAGTAGCGGGAAACTGTAGCTATGGCTGTCAAACAAACCCCACCGCGAGTGGCATCACGCGCGCTTACTCAGAGGAAGGCTATAATAATACGTACGCATTCTTCTGCGCATGAAGTACTGCTACGTCTCTCTATTAGGGGAGATGATTCGACATTTATGTACATCGGTACTTTTTCAGGGATGGGTTCTCGGTGTGGGGGTGGGGGTGGGGGTGGGGTTGCAATTTCACCCCTTAATTTCGATTTGAAAGTATAACGAAGTTGTGAAACTTGTCGTCCCCTTAATTTTCGGGTGTGATTCATGAAACCAATTTGAGAGGCCAGGAATTAACGTTTACAGATGTCCGCGCCGAAAAAGGGGGCAGCTGTAATGAAAATCGAAATTACGATGAGCTTATTATAGGAAACAAGCATAAACTCGGTTAACCCTTTATTTAGTATATATTATGTTCGGTTGTGTTTTGTTTGATGCATCCTTTCTGGTAATTTTCCATTATTGACTGTAGATCTCTGTCAAGTGGTGGGGAATGTTTGCATGAATTTTTTTTTTTTTTTTTTTTTTTGATGTTCTTCTTTCATTTGGGATTTAGGGTTTTCTGGTTTCGTGGAAAGGGGAGGGAATATTAGCTCTCTTCTCTCTCTCTCTCCAACATTGTTGATTTTTGTGCTCAATTTGATTTGATGATAATGGAGTTCAAATTTCCCTAAATTCCGTATTTATTTGGAGGATGAATTTTTGAGAGGGGACAATATTCAAAAGAAATCGAAAGGGGAAAAAAAAAAAGGTGCCATGAGTTGCTTTTCTTGCATAAGCCCTAAATTGAAGGATGTGAAAGATTATGATGATGATTTGTCCCCAAGATCCACTAATTCTCCAGGTTTTGTTCCCTCTCGTTTTTTCTTCTTCTTCGTTATTTGTTCGTGCAGATGACATTATATTCATAACGCTTCTTTTGTTGTCGATTCAATAATGCTTGGATGTGCGTGCAGCTAGTTTAAAGGGAAAGGCTTTTTTCAATGGTGAGAAACAAAAAAAGGTTTCGATTTTTTTTTCGAAAAAGTATTTGCGCGGACGTGTATTTAATAGTTATCCGTTTGTGTCTTATAGAGAGCGGAAACAGGGGTAGTTCGGTCAGATCAAAAGCCAAAGAAAGCACTTCTCAAAAAGGAAATGTGGCTCGAAGCTTCACGTTCAAAGAACTAGCAATCGCCACGCAGAATTTCAGGGAAGCTAATTTGATCGGTGAAGGTGGTTTTGGGAGCGTTTACAGAGGCAAGCTCGACTCTAACCTGGTACGCTTTTTCCAAGAAATTATATTTTCTTTCTAGCCTTTGATTATTAATAATGTTGGGAAAATCTGAAAAATAAAAATTGATTTAATTCGATGGATCAAGATTGTTGCCATAAAGCAACTTAATCTCGAGGGGCTTCAAGGAAGTCAAGAATTCGTGGTGGAGGTTCTTATGCTAAGCCTTCTCCATCACCCAAATCTCGTTAATTTGATCGGTTATTGCATCGATGGTGATCAAAGGCTTTTAGTTTACGAGTTCATGCCAATGGGCAGCCTTGAAAATCATCTTTTCGGTAATTAATTTTCAATTATTTTTTTTGTTTCGCCATTTATGATTATAGACAATAGTGAAAAAATCGATTTTTTTTTTTTGGTACCAGATTTAGAGCCTGATCAGAAGCCACTAGATTGGAGTACGAGATTGAAGATTGCAGTTGGTGCAGCTCGTGGACTCGAATATCTCCATCAAGCAACTCCACCGGTTATATACCGTGATTTGAAATCTTCGAATATATTATTGGACAACGATTATAATGTCAAATTATCCGATTTCGGGCTTGCCAAACTGGGGCCCGTTGGAGACAACACTCACGTTTCGACACGTGTCATGGGTACTTATGGATATTGTGCACCCGAATATGCCATGAGCGGAAAACTAACCTTAAAATCAGATATCTACAGCTTCGGTGTGGTTCTGCTTGAACTTATTACCGGGCGAAAGGCTATTGACTTCTCCAAGAAACCAGGGGAGCAGAATCTTGTTGTGTGGGTGAGTTTTTTTTTTTTTTTTTTTTTCTATCTCCTAGTTTTAAAGTAAATCTCGATTATGTTTACGGAAACTGAATTGTTAAATGTCGTTTCAATTTCACTGATATCAAAGAACTACAAGTTTCGTGTTTGGAGTTCTGCCAAACGCAGCCTCGAAAATGGTCGAAATCACGTTTGAAACGATATTATTTAAACTGAAACGACATTTATGATTTATTGCATCCCCAAGTAAAAAATAATATTTTTTTTTTTTTCTTTCGGTGAAGTCTCGTCCGTTTCTTAAGGATGGAAGGAAGTTTGTACAAATGGTGGATCCTCTGCTAGAAGGGAGATTCTCAGTGAAGAGCCTGAAGCACGCTGTTTTAATAACTTCGATGTGTCTACAGGAACATGCTGGGGCCCGCCCACTCATAAGCGATCTCGTTATCGCACTTGAATACTTGGCTTCCAAGGCAGACGATTCTCGTAAAGGCAGGTCCATCGATTCTTGAAGAAAAAAAAAAAAAAAGAAAAACACGAAACTTTCAAATCGAGCGAGCGGATGTCTTTTCTAAGAATATAGTTTAGTCGATTTATGGGCACTGCTGACGTATAAATGCAGAATGGGCATGAATTAATCCCCGGTTGTTTCGACATTTTTTTAATTTTTTTTAATTATTTTTTTTTCCTGCAATGTTAACTCTTTGTTGATAGGCTAGGTACACAACATTTTTTGGTTCTTTTTATGTAGTTATTACACTCGGGATAATATACTCATATTTGTGTTTTTATAGACTTATATTATATATATATATATATATATACTCACTTTTGTAGATACTATCTTATATATATGCATGCATCTGTAAAATGTAGGGGTGTGGATGTGAGTATATTAGTGTGTGTGCTACGCATATTGGATGTAATTACTAATTATTATGAAAAGTATTAGTAGATGACCCAGTCTGAGAAAGCGAGTAACTGCTGTGGGAATTTTGAGGGGTTTTTTAGTAATTTAGTAAACCGAGTGAAGATGTCATGTTTCCCATCAACAAAAGTCAATCCTCTATATTTATTGTGAATTTAATTTATGACCCATTATATTTATATTTTATACAGTCCACACGCCTAAGTATATTTTTTTTAAACAACAATAGTTAATTAATTAAATTATGGGGGTCAATTATACCCTTTTAAATATGGAAAATTATATCTTCGTATTTTGCTACAAGTTCATTCTTATTTAGAAAGTTCGGACATAAAATAGTTATCTTAGACTGAAAACTATGTACACTTCAAAACTGGTTGCAGTGGAAGAATGTTATTTTCATTTAAGATGTTTATTTTAAGTTGTTCATGTAAAAACTTTTAAATTAATGATTTAGGTGGATTTATTTTTTCTTCAAATAGCGAGTTTAAGCATTAATTACTTGTCAATGTATTACTACAAACTTGAAGTAGTCAAACGAAAATACATGTAGAAGAAGTGAAGAACCAGTCTAAATACATTTACAGCAACCTGACTTCATTCACAATGGGGCACGTGACGTCATAAAACCATCAAATTTTAGGTATAGAATATTTGAATAAAAAACTCAAATTCAAGCAAAGATCACCAGATGCCAGCTGTTTTTTTCTTTATGGAAAACGACAAATTATATGAGTAAATTGCAAATACCACCCCTGTGAAATCTCTAATTATCAAATAACCCCCTATCAAAAAAAAAATTCGTTCATACCCCCCTATGTAATATTTTTCGAAGCTCACAGCACCCATTATCATTTTAATGGTTGACTGAAGGTAAAAAAACAAGTATACCCCTAAGTGGAATAACATCAAATTATAATAATGTAAGAGGCCAAATTGGAATTTTGTCAAACTTCTAAAACTTAAATTGGGGGACTAAATTGCAATTTTCCCAGCGGCAGCCTAATTCCTCACCTTCCTCTCAATTTCCGCCGCCGCCCACCACGCACCACCACATCCATCAATTGTTTAGGCTTCTTCAAGCTCGGAATTTTTTTTGGTGGCGGCTTGATCGATTTTGTCGATTTCTGATGAAGGGTCTGTAGATGACTATGGAACGCGTTTTTGCAGGTCTAAGAATGGCGGCGGATCCGGCGATGTTGTTGTGGAAGTAGAAGGGAGATTTGGAGTTTTGTTATACCATCTCTTCATTAATATGCTCCTAGTAGTTCACCGATAAAAACAACCGCCCACATCAGAAGAAAAAGGCAGAAGTCTGGGGCACCTGCTAACGGATCCCGTTGAAATTTACGAATGGAGTTTGGTCTAATGCAAGACAACGAGTTATTCTTTTGCAATAGCAGTCCCTTGCCCAGCTG